CTGTGTATAATTCTTTCACCTCCTTGGTTAGGTTTATTCCCAGATATTTTATTACTTTGGGTGCTATTTTAAAGGGGATTGTTTCTTTACTTTCTTTTTCTGTTGATTTATCGTTAGTGTAAAGAAATGCAACTGATTTAGTAATTTGAGTCTTTTATTTTCCTAAAGACTTGAACCAGCTCCTGGTCCGCGACCTTCCTTTCCTTCCGTCAGCTCTGCGCTCCAGCTGCTCTTGTTCTACTTCCTTAACATGTCAGTGTGGCTACTGATTTGAGACCCTTCCTCTTTCAGTGCCAGCAGTCGCGGCCATACCCTTCCCTCTTCACACTGCCTCACTGCGCCCCATGCCCCGGGGCTGAGAACAGTGTGGCGGGGACGTGCCATGCCAGGTGTTTGTGGGCCGCCTCTGGTACTTCCTTGAGACAGGTGGACGGGAGCTGAATCATCAGATCTAAGAGCAAGCAATTCCTTGTGCTCTTGCCCCAAGCAGGTGTCTGTGAGCTCCACTCCGGTAGCTTGGAGGCATCTGTCTCCTCCCTCTTCCCACCAAGTTCGGCTTGATCTTCTAGACACGTATTCTCTTTCACGTGGTCAGTGAAAAGTGACACCTTGTTGTCTCCGTGTGTTTTTATTCCTGGATGGGTGCTGGGGTGTGTTTGTGGCTATCTGCTTTTGCTTTTGGAACTTCTTTTTTGTGCGTCTTGGTTTGGGGCATCCGGTCTTGGGGGTGCTCTGGGCAGTGCCGTGGTTGGGGGCGTGGGTTGGACAGGATGCAGCCCCACACTGGGCTCTGGATGCCCAGCACCAGTGATCTCTCGTCTGTCCTGTCCAGCCGGCTCAGGCCTTCACGGTGAAGCAGGGCGTCCACGTGTCAGGAGCGTCCCCCGAGAGCATGAGCAGCCTCCTCTCAGAGGTGGCCGAGTGCGGGACCCACTATGCGCGCCTGAGCCACTTCTCCCTGCAGCCTGTGCTGGACTCCTCATGCAGCAGGGGCCTCGTGTTCCAGGTATGCCCCCCCGCCTCGCCTGTTGCGGATCCGAGCGTGGTCCACATGCTCTGCAGAAGAGCCTCAGAGGCCCTGCCCCAGGTGACACCCAGAGTCTAGCAATTACCCTTCAGAACAGCGATTATGGTGGCCAGCGATTATGTCTTACCTCACCCATCACTTCCCTGGAAACTTGGGGCAGAGGCATTTGGGCCATGAGATAGTAGGAGGCAGGTGTGGCCAATGCTGGGGGCCCCAGGGGAAGGGCCAGTGGTGTGGGATGGAGTGGGTACATGCTGCCTGTTCCCCCTGGGTCCCCAGTGCAGGCGGGGCTGAACCAGATCTCTCTTGAAAGCCTTATAATTGGTGCATACACGGGGCACAGCCCCTGGGACAGTGGGGCAGCTGCTTGGGAGGGACAGGCATCCAGACAGAGAGAAGAGTGGCAGGGTTCGGGTCAGTTCCCCAAGTTTTGGCACTGCAGTGGGGTTGCTGGGGTGACATGATGAGGTTCAGGTTCTGGAATGGGGCCAAGGGGAGCCGGGAGGGCAGAAGGAAACCAAGACCGGGTTGTCGTGCCGGGTGTCTGGGACGTGAGCTGGGATAGCTGTCTCCTTGCTGGTGGGTGCCTGGTATTGGTTCTGGAGTGTTCTCCAGTGGTCTGAGCGGCCAAACCCTCTCAGAGTTGGTGTCTGTGCACAGAGTCCAGCTACCCAGGGTCTGCAGGGTCTGCTGTCCTGGTGTAGCTGGTCCTGGCTGCAGGGACAGGATTGCAGTGGGCCTTGGACTTCCAGCTGGGCTGGGGTGTCTGGGTGTCACACCCAGATGCCCACTCCTTGGAAAAGGAAGCCCCAGGGTTGGGGGTGGAAGCCCAGCCTTCTCCCTGGCACTGGCTTCTCCTCTCTGGTCTGAGCTCAGTGGCTGGGTCCACGTGCTCGGCCGCCCTCCTCCTAGCCCCTGCCCCACAGGCCTTCACCAGTGGCCTGAGGAGGTACCTGCAGTACTACCGGGCCTGCGTCCTCTCCACGCCGCCCACCCTGAGCCTCCTCACCATTGGCTTCCTCTTCAAGAAGCTGGGCCGGCAGCTCAGGTGAGCCTCAGCATGGCGGTGTGATGGCTGGACAGGGGCGGGCATGGGGCTTGCTGGGCGGTGGCGGGCCTATGAAAGCAGCCCTGCTGCTGGGCGTCTGGATAGCCTTTGACCCAGATGAGTTCATGAGGGGCTAGGTGCTGTCTGTTGGCAGCCCACCAAGCGGGCCCTGCCTTGGGTCAGCGGCTCCTGCCTGAAAGGCACACAGGGTTCCTCCCTATAGACAGACCTGGCCCCTGGCACCCACAAGCTGGTTAGTGAACACCAGGCAGTGTGTCTGCTGGCAGGTGCCATCTGGAGCCAGAAAATGATGGGCTAGGGTTGAGTGGAGGTGGGTTCAGTTCAAGAGGAGTTGTTGTAGGCAGCCTGGGGAGCTCTGGAGGGTGCTGTCAGGGGCTGTGCCGCAGCGGGGTGCAGGGGGCTAGGGGCCATCCAGGACAGAGGAGGTGGTGACCTGGGCGAGGTGGTGAGTGCTGGAGAGGTCTCAGGGCAGAGCTGCAGGGTTGGGGCAGGGTTGTGGACTCCGGGACGCAGTCTTGGCCAAACTTGGGAAGGAGGTGGCGATGCGTGGGCGCCCTGGGAGGAGTCTGTCAGGAGGCTCCAGTCTGAGGTCCTTGAGGTGCAGGTGGTTTTAAAGCTGGACCAGTGCAGACAGGCAGAGGAGGACCTGGGACACGTCCTGCTCGCCTGATCTCACCGGCCTTTGTGTCTAGGTACCTGGCTGAGCTCTGTGGTGTCGGCACTGGCACTGCACTCCCGGGCGCTGGTGGAGGGGAGCCCAGGGCTGCGGCTGCCTTCCCCACTGTGAGCTCGGGATTCCTGAGTAGGCAGCCCCTGTTGGGGGGCGGGGCAGTGGCTGAGCTTGGAGGATGGGTGGGGGGCTGGATCCTGCAGTGTTGTGTGTGCTGAGCCCCTCTCCTTGTCGTCTCCAGGGCGTGAGGCTGCTCTCCTACCTCTACCAGGAGGCCCTGGACAACTGCAGCAACGAACACTACCCGGTGCTGCTGTCTCTGCTGAAGACCAGCTGCGAGCCCTACACGCGGTGGGGCCTGGGGTGGGGCCGGGCGAGGGGTGGGGCTGCGCTCTGTCCTCGTTGCCGCGCTCCTACGCTCCTGCCCGGGTTGCCTACCAAGCACCTCACTGCTGGCCCGCCCACCCCGCAGGTTCATTCACGACTGGGTGTACAGTGGGGTCTTCAGAGATGTTTATGGAGAGTTCATGATCCAGGTGAACCAGGAGTACTTGGGCTTCAGAGGTAGGTGGTGGCCGGCGTTCAGGCTGGGCCTCCACGCCTTCGGGTGGGTCAGGGCTGTCGCTGGACACAGATCTTATGTTTCTGGTCCCACGTGTAGACAAGTTTTACTGGACCCATGGCTACGTGCTCATTTCCAAAGAGGTGGAGGACTGCGTGCCCGTGTTCTTGAAACACGTTGCTCATGACGTGTATGTCTGCGGAAAGACCATCAACCTGCTGAAGCTCTGCTGCCCCCGGGTGAGGGGGCGCTGCCCTGCACCACCCAGTGTGCCGTCTCATCCCCCCCGCCCCTCTTGCCCCTCTGCGTGTGCCCTCCCCCCACCCCCTGCGGCCTGGACGGGTGTCCTTAGCTCTGGGTCAGCTGGGCTGGACCAGGTTGTGGTGACCTCAGTTTCCCCTGGAGTTTCACTAGTAGTTCTGTTGAGTTTCTGAGTGCTCTTTCCAAGACCAGAAGAGAAGCTGAAGGCATTTCAGAGACCAAGGGGGCAGTGGGCTTCTCCCCACCTCCTCCACCCTGGAGATGCCCCAGTGCAACAGGGGTGGGCTGTGTCAGCGGGAAGATGGATGTGGCTGTTTAGGGAATCATGTCCCCCTGGTCCGGGGGGCACTTGTGAAGGGGTCACAGGGTTTGGCTGTGCTCTGGAACAGAGGCCTGCACTGGTGTCCATGTGGCTGAGACCTGGTGGAGGAAGGCCAGGTGACTGTGATGGGCTGTGGACAGGCTGGCCCTTTGAGGAGGTGCTGCCTGATGCCCCAGCAGAAGGAGGTGGGTGGGGCATGTGGACACGGGTTCTAGGCAGCGGAATACCCAGGTACAGGCCAGATCTGGGGCAGCAGCTGGCCGAGTGTGGGGCTGAGAACAGACTGGAGCAGCCAGGACAGGCTCAGGGCCAGGTGGGAGCAGCAGGTGCAGGGAAGGGCCTGATGCTGGTGGGCTCTCAGGAGCCTCTGGGAGGTTGGCTGTCGGGAAGTGGGGCTCCAGGGCAGGGTGGGGCTACATATTGGGGCTCAGCTATGGGGAGAGGCCGGCGGTGGGCCTGTCCAATCTGGGTGGGCCTCAGTGAGTGGGTGTGGGCGTGTCCCACGTTCTGAAGAGTCACTTGGAGGCAGACGTGACCTCTGCCACAGGGCAGCCTTGGCTGGGCAGAGACCTTGCACAGCCTGTCTGTGGTGTCCTCAGAGCTGTGGAGGATGGCAGTGAGGAATGCACTTTCTAAGAAAGCCGGCGTACACACCGGTCACCAGAAACGGAGGCAGAGCAGGATGTGGGTCCAAGTTTCTCTGGGCTCACTGCAGGTTCTCCTGCTCAGCAGCATTACCTCTGCTGCTCTGATGTTCCTGTCCCTCGCATCTCGGTGATTTTCTCCCTGGAGGAGTTGAAGGACATAGAGAAGGACTGTGCCATCTACGTGGGACGGATGGAGAGGGTGGCGCGCCACAGCTCCATCAGCAAGGAGGAGAAGGTGTGGGGGCACCTCGGGCTCCGGGGCCTTTCCTTGCCCTTCCCTCCCTTCTCTCCTATGGGGCTGGCTGGATGGCGGACAGCCAGGTCCTGCCTGAGCAGTAGCCCCAGGGCAGCAGGACCTGAGGTTCCTGCACTCGGTGGCCTCTGAGCTCCTCTCCTGCTCGGAAGGGGCAGGTGTACCAGAGCCTGAGCTCTGAGCATCCTGTGTACTGGAGAGGGGTTGATGAGGGTTCTTCCTGGCCTGGCACCAGGTGGGCAGCAGACCCCACAGAAGGGAGTGGGAGGGGTGGAGAGGCGGGGGCTGGAGGTGGAGAGGGGCTGGCCTGTTTGGGTAGCCTGGGCCTGACCCTCCATCCCTGCAGGGATGGGCACACACAGGCCTGGGGTCGTGGCTCCAGGTCGCTCTGTGAGAGTGTCTGCTGCCCTGGGAGCCAACCTTGTCACTCTGCAGGACAGGTGCCTCACCTCCAGAGCCTGGGCACTGTCCCTGGAGAGCCTACCCGGGGTCTGAGCAGCCCCATTTCCCAGGTCATTCCAGGGAAGGGGACAGAGGATTAAATGCATTGATCACTGGTGGTCTTTTTCAGGAATTACGAATGGAAATTGCAAAACAAGAATTAATCATCCATGCCCGGGAAGCGGCGTCCAGGGTCCTGAGTGAGCTCAGTGGTGCGTGTGGCTCGTGTCCCTCCAACCCCCGGCCCTGTGTCTGGGGGCTGCCTGCTGGGCCTCTCACAGCAGCAACCCCACTGTCACTGCAGATCGGCAGATGTCTGTGCGGATGGCCTTGGATGCCCGGAAGCGAGAGCAGTTTCAGAGGCTGAAGGAGCAGTTCGAGAAGGACCAGGAGGTGGGTGGGGTTGGCCTGGGGGAGGCCGGGGAGCAGGCCGGGGAGTCGGCTTCAGCAGCCAGGCTGCCGGTGGGGGTGTTGTGCAGCGACGCCGGGTGGCCAGGCAGGAGGAGCTGGATGATGACTTCAGCTACGCTCGTGAGCTCCGGGACCGGGAGAAGAGGCTGAAAGCCCTGGAGGAGCAGCTGGAGAGGAAGGCGAGGTGAGCGGCGGGTGCCGTGGGCATCACAGCTGTTGGATCTTTGTGATGGTCGTTTACTTTTATCTTGAAACCTTTCACGTGTACGTTCCAGTGGGAGGAGGTCTCAGCTCAGAACCACCAGGCTTGCCACATCCAAGTGTCCTCGGCTGTGCCAGGATGTCTCCTCGCGGCCAGTTAGTGTGGCCTGGGATCTGGGCTCGGTCTGCACGCTCTGCTCCTGTCCCCTCTCTGTCTCTTGGTCTCTTTTAAGTTATTTGTTTATTCCTGAACCTGTTAGCCTGAGAGACGGGAATTCACCCAGCACAGCGACCTGGAGTCTCTCCTGCTGTGTCTTCAGCTTGTCCTGCCCCAAAGAGGTGGCAGAGCTGGTGTCTCCAGGGGGACCCTGGTGGGAGGGGCTGTCACTTCCTGCTTATCATCTCGGGGTCCCAGTTGTTCTGACCCATGGGACTTTGTGGAGCTGTGACGGGCTCAGCGAGTGAAGAGGCCCTGTGTGCCTGTGCGTGTGCATCCATGCTGTCGGGGGTGTGCGTGTGTGCGCGCGTGTGTGTGTGCACGCGCGCATGTGGGGGATGTTACTGGGCTGTTTACGCGTGCAGAAAACTAGGTGTCTAGGCTATGCCCCTGGCCTGTGGCAGCTGAATTAAAAACAGCCAGTCCAGGTTTGAAACAAGTTTCCTGCTGGTGAGAACGTCAGAATCACTGGATGTAACTCACCAGACCAGCTCTGAATTAAGCTGATGAAATGTTGATGTGCACTGTCTACCTTTTTGTGTTGATCTTCGGTTCTGTGGGCTTTGCACCAGCAGAACGGAAAGATGCCTCTCATGCAGCTCAGGGAACGAGGCCTTACCCCCGAGGCCCAGGCAGCCCTGGCCCTGCCAGTCCCTTCACTTCCGGTTGTGTGGGAACACATCTGGGTGTTCACTCAGCCGATGCCTGCTCCACCATGGGCGCCTGCCCAGCAAGGCCCCCGCAGGTGTGGTGGGGGCCCAGGGGGTCAGCTGCCCGCCATCAAACTGCCCATTAGGGTCCTGTGCCATGGAGAGCCATCCAGCCCACGGGCACTGGTGGGACAGTGCGCTGACCGTGGTGACCAGTCCTCTGTGGCTGCAGGCAGGCGCTGGTGGACCATTACAGCCAGCTGTCTGCGGAGGCTGCTCGCCGGGAGCAGAGGGCACTGTGGAAGGTCCAGAGGCGAAGACTGGCCAGCGCTCGGCTTCGCTTTCTCTTGGATGATCAGAAACAGATTCAGGTATCTTGTGGTTTTAGATGGGGGTTCTTCCATGGCCTCTCGGGGTCTCATGATCTCCTGAAGCAGCATGCAGAGCTACTTGTGTTCCTGCCTAGGAGGGTGGGTAATGCTCTCATTGGTGGCTCGGAGGTGAGGTGACTGGAAGAGGCTGTGCTGCCCTCGGACAGCACGGATGGGACTGCCCCGCAAGCACAGTGCCACACAACCTTACCTGTCCTAGGCTGGCAGTTGTGGGCGGGGGCTGTGACTGCTCTCCGCTCAGCTGCTGCCTTACATCCTGCTGGTTGAACCGCAGGAGATGCTGAAAGATGTGTCTGAGGGGAAGCCCTTGGAGCTGCTGGCTGCCCTCTCTGGTGCCCACTCCCAGGTGAGGTCCTGGGGCAGGATCCAGGGTGCGCAGCTGGGGGCAGGGAGGGGATCTCAGCTGGGTGCCCCAGGCCAGCACTGCCCTGGGAGCATGGTGGGTGCCAGCCTGGCCTGTGTCCATCCTGCCATGGGTTTTGGTGCCAGTTGCAGAACTGAACTGGGGGTTAGAGTCAGATGACTGGAGGGGTTAATGTGCACTTGTGTTTCAGGCCTCCTTCCTGGGCCCCCAGCACCCAGCCAGAGGCAGCGGCAGTGATTCTGGGCGTGCAGAGCAGCACGAGGCTGCCTGGGATTGCTCCAATAGCCAGAGTGTGCTGACACCGAAGCCCCTCCAGTCTCCAGCAGTGGGGGCCTGCGGCTCACAGCCTGGAGCGGGCCTGCCGTTGGGGCAGGCAGAGGGGCCAGAGCCATTCTCTGTGGGCCTCAGCATCCAGGACTTCCTGCCCATGGCCCCGGGGGCTGAGCAGCTTGCGTTCCCCTGCTCGGCCCCCGTCCTGGAGGACGCACTGCAGACCATTGGCTCAGACCTGCCTCTGGTGGCTCCATCTGCACTGGTGGGCTCAGGGCCCCCTGGGCCACAGGAGTACGATTTCAGAACCATCCTGAGGCCGGCTATGGCCGCCTCAGCTTCCCCAGGGTTCCTCCAGACAGTAGGAGGTGGCTTGGGCAGTGAGGGGCAGCAGCTGTGGGAGGACACTCACACGCAGCTGGACATGTGTGTCCCGGATGGGCAGGTCCCCAGGCACACCTCCCCCCAGGAGGGTAGCAGCCAGGCCACAAGGCAGCTCCTTGGGCAGGTGTCAGAGGGTGGTGTTCCCATAGGGGGTTACGCCTCTGGAATGACTCCCTCCTGGCCACAGTGGAATGTCCACAGACACGTGTCTGATGCCAGCATCAGGGTGGGGGAGAACGTATGGGACGTGGCCCCTTCCCGGCCACGTTGGAATGTCCACGGACATGTGTCTGATGCCAGCATCCGGGTCGGGGAGAATGTGTGGGACGTGGCCCCCTCCCGGCCACGGTGGAATGTCCACGGACACGTGTCTCAGTCCCATGTAACACTAGGGATGCTCCCAGGGGAAGCTGAGTCTAATGTGCCCAGGCCCCACTGGACGCCCCCTGATCATAGGTCCCAGTCAGATCTTAGCTTGGGGGCCCAGAGCCCTGCCCAGGAACATGAGCCCCAGCCGCCCACAGAAACAGCCTCAGGCAGGTCCTGCGTGCACATGGCTGGCTCCGGCTCTGGCCTGGAGGAGAGTGGCCTCCAGTCCTCGTTCTCTGAGGGGGCTGCGCCTGCTGCCCTGGGAGATGGCACGCCTGAGGAGCCAGGTCTGTGGGGTCCCCAGAGCTGTTCAGCTACTGAGAGTGTCTGGGGCTGTGAGGGGGGAGGGGGATGAGGAGTCTGCTGCCCTCGGGCCCCAGGGCACTTGGCCCTGATGCCCCCTCCTGCCCTGCTTGCTCCACTCAGGCCCAGGGAGGAGCGGGGACACTGAAGACCTCTCTCCAAGTTGCCCTCCAGGCTCCCAGGTCAGGGTGGACGTGGTCAGAGCTTGGGGGAGCATGTTCTGCTGGTTCCTCCTACCCCAGCCTTTTGTGGGCAATGAGGGCTCTGTCCTGAGACCCACAACACCTGGGGGGCGGTGAGATCCCCTTCCTCTTCACATGAGGGAAGGGGCTGATTCCTTGAGGCCGGGTCATTTTAGGAAGGCATGGCTGCCCAGAGCAGCCCAGACCTTGGCGAGGAGGCAGTCCAGCGCTGGGGCCAGGAGCAGGCCTACTTGGCAGGCCTGGCGGGGCAGTACTGCCTGGAGCGGTACCCGGACAGCTTTGAGGCCATGTGTGAGTGGGCTGGCCATGGCGGGTGGGAGCCTGGCAGGCCTATCCCTGGCATGTGACAGCGGTCTGTGTCACCCCTGCAGCAGAGCCTCCCATCGCCCGCCTCCTGCACCACGGGCTTCCGAGAGCCTTTACCCTCCCCGAGGAAGCCCGGGTCCAGTCGGACGCGGACGAGACCGCGGTGCAGCTGAGTGAGCTGCTGCCCCTGCCCGTGCTCATGAAGCACTCCATCACTGCCCCTCTGGCCGCCCAGTGAGTGCCTGCCTGCCTGCCCCCGCCCCCGCCCCCGCCAGGTCCAGACTGCCTGTCGGGCCCTGACTCCGGGCCCCTCCCGCCCGCCAGCGTCTCCCTGGTCAACAGAGCAGCCGTTGACTACTTCTTCGTGGAGCTGCGCCTGGGGGCACACTTCGAGGCACTGCGGCACTTCCTTCTGATGGAGGACGGGGAGTTTGCCCAATCCCTCAGCGACCTGCTCTTTGAGAAGGTAGCTAGGTGGGGAGCCAGCAGGGGCCGGGGCTGCAGGCGGGGTCCAGACACCTTGGGACGTTGGTGCTCTCTGTCTTGGCAGCTCGGGGCGGGGCAGACGCCCGGGGAGCTTCTCAGCCCACTGGCGCTCAACGCAGTGCTGAGCAAGGCCCTGCAGTACAGCCTGCACGGCCACACCCCGCACGCCGCCAACCTCTCCTTTGCCCTCAAGTTCCTGCCTGAGGCCTTTGCCCCCAATGCCCCGGACGTGCTGAGCTGCCTGGAGCTCAGGTACAAGGTGAGCAGGACCCCCTAGTGGGTGCAGGGGGCTGTCCTGGACAAGGGCGAGCTGAGCCAGCCTCCCTGATAGGTCGACTGGCCCCTCAACATCGTGGTCACCGAGAGCTGCCTGAGCCGGTACAGCGGAATCTTCTCCTTCCTGCTGCAGCTGAAGCTTATGATGTGGACCCTCAAGGACATCTGCTGCCACCTCAAGCGCACAGGTGAGCATGGCGGGAGCCCGAGCGGCCCCTGAGCGCGCGGCCTCGGCTCACCCCCGACCTCTGCGCAGCCCGGGTGAGCCAGGCAGCCGGCTCAGTGCAGTTCCGGCAGCTGCAGCTGTTCAAGCACGAGATGCAGCACTTCGTGAAGGTCACCCAGGGCTACATTGCCAACCAGATCTTGCACGTCACCTGGCGTGAGTTCCGGGCAAGGCTGGCCTCGGTGGGTGACCTGGAGGAGATCCAGCGCGCCCACGCCGAGTACCTGCACAAAGCTGTCTTCAGGTGAGGTGAGGGCGAGGCATGGGTGCCGGTGCTGCATCCCGGGGCCCAGCGTGTCTGCCGCAGCACCCACCTCACTCCCCAGGGGCCTGCTGACAGAGAAGGCGGCACCCGTCATGAACGTCATCCACAGCATCTTCAGCCTGGTCCTGAAGTTCCGCAGTCAGCTCATCTCCCAGCCCTGGGGCCCAGCCAGTGGCCCCCGGGGAGCCGAGCACCCTAACTTCGCCCTCATGCAGCAGTCCTACAGCACCTTCAAGTACTACTCCCACTTCCTCTTCAAAGGTGCCCGTCCCCGGGGCTGGGCGGGCTGGGGGACGCCCAGGGGCCCGGCTGCGCTGCTCACTGACTGCCCTCCCCCCAGTGGTGAGCAAGCTGGTGAACCGTGGCTACCAGCCCCACCTGGAGGACTTCCTGTTGCGCATCAACTTCAACAATTACTACCAGGACGCCTGAGGCTGAATAAAGGTGCTGCCCCCTGACCCCGCGCCTCTCTCTTCGGGGAGGGCCTGGGCCTGGCCGGGGCACGATGACCACACGGGACTGAGGAAGCTGCTGGTTTATTTGGGGACCATGCCTCCCCGCCTAGGCTGGATGGGTGGGGGGTCGTGTGCCAACCCGGCTGGTCCCCTCTGCTGAGCTGTCCTCGGGCAAAGCGACAGGTCACAGGAGCGGCAGGGCAGGGCTGGCCTGGGTTGGGCTGGGCTGGGCTGGGCTGGGCTGCTGAGTCCGCGTCGGACAGAGACGGGTCAGGTCCTGACTGGACATCTCTGCCGTCATGGAGAGATGGGCATCTGTCTGTGGGCTGGGCGCTCCCTCGCAGACTCAGCAGGACCTGGGGCCTTGGGGCCCTCGGCAGTTACGAGGATCATGTCACACACAGCTCCGCCGCCCAGAGCGGGGGCTTGCTGCTGTAGGAGCGTCGCCTGCTGGCCTCCCTGCCAGCCTCCTCTGGCTCTACGGCCTTGTGTGCCTCAGCAGCCTCCCCCTCTGTGTGGTACGGGGTCTCCAGCAGCTTCAGTACCCGCTGCACCTGGAGAAGAGCCAGGGGGCAGGGTGTTGGGGTGGCCCTCGCCTGCCGTGGGAGAGGAGGGACGGGCGGTGAGGGGGATGCTTGCCTCCGAGAAGTCCCCATTCTCTGCAGCCTCAATGGCGTTCTGCGCGATGTAGTTCCTCAGGATGTACTTAGGGTTGTTGGCGTGCATGACACGCATGTGGTCAGCCTGCCAGGCAGCAGTGTCACCAGCACACTTCCTGTCCTGCTCCAGCCGGGCTCTGGAACCACACCCGGCCCGTGTCCAGCAGATGCAGTGCCCCCCCCACCCTGACGTGGTGCCTGGCCTGCGGGTGATTGGTGCCCCCGGCCTCACCTGTACTCCTGGAGCCAGCCGGCCCAGCGGCTCCTGTTCCTGGCCTGCAGCTCGGCAGGGCTCAGCTGCTCCAGCTGAGACTGCCGCTCCATGCGCTCC